CGAAATAAAAATTGGGTTAGCATTGACGTTTACATTAATTTATTGTGCCGGCATGGTTTTCTCCTGCCTAACCTCCTCTCCTATCTTTCTTCGGCCTTTGCTGCTCTCACTTCCCTACATCTTTTCTCTTCTTCTTTCCGCTTACTTCTTCTTAAGAGTACTCACTCAATGCTGCTGGGTGCACCCTTACCGCCGCTGGATTACCGCACTGATGTTCCGCGGCTCGTCCGTCTGACTTGCTCCACACACACAGCACAATGACCACCCGTTGTTCCGTGGTTTAGAGTCCGGTCCGGACAACCCTCATCCGTCGTGTCTACGATGACCTCGCCAGAATCACGTACAGCCCCGACACACTGGCCCTCGCGCAGCTGAGTAGTCCGACCTGCGGAATAGCAATCAGAACAAAAGGCCTTCTGTTTGAAGGCCTTTTTAGCCACAGGCAGTGGTTCTTCACCGATAGCGTCTGTCCGGGAGATCGTGTTGTGGCGTCGTTGCCTTGGCCTGAGCACACGGTTAATCTGTCGTCGGCAAGCTTCAACGATGTTTGATCGTTGATCCACCATCCGGTGCGTTCTTCTTCGATCGCACAGAGCTGCTCGCGCCCGAGAACACAGTTTTTTACACTTCCAACTTACTATCACGGCAATCGCGATTATCAACCACGCCGTTTTGCGTGCTACTTGTGCGAATGCACTTTTCTTCTGGCTCCCTTTATGCTGTCACTGATGTTTACTGTGCTGGTACTTGTGTGTGTGCGTGCGGAAGCGTTGTCAGCAACGTCAATGCGGAATGATGGGCAAGATAATTTTCGCTTTTCAAGCGATGCGGCCCATGTGGCATAATTTCCTTATGCACGCTCACGGGAGATTAGGCATCAATAATGTCATACCCCAAATGCTTATAAGCGAATTGCTACTACCCAAAACTAAACGTAACAATGGTTTGTGTGAACGTATTTGATCATCGATGCAGCAAGATTTATTTTTCTCTGTTTCTTTATGTGCCATGATTCGTCGTCTCGCCGATACAAGGAAATCACACGGCGAATGAGAACGACTCAAATTTGAGTTTAGTTCACTCATAATCGCCAAAAGTGCAGGAACGCAGCGATGAGTTAAATTTGTCTCATGGTTTCCTGTGGAAAACCTAAAAAATCTGCCGGAAAATGAGGAAATTGACGAAAATTTTATTCAGTCTCGGAGTAGTACCAATAGACTGAGTGAATCCAATCTTTACTTTTCTCAAATTCGGGAATTTTTCCCTGGAAAAACCTGGAAAAATCTGGGAAAACATGAGGCAAATTTACTCATCGCTGCGTTCCTGAGTTAGCTGAGTTCCTGCACTTTTGGCGATTATGAGTGAACTAAACTCAAATTTGGGTTGTTCTCATTCGCCGTGCAGTTTAGTTTACTGACACACGGGGGTCCAACGGTTGCGGAAATACACGTGAATTATTCAGTGAACAGTGAAAACTTCAAACACTGCCGCCGGGATGTTCTGAGGCATAACATCTCTGATCACGCCTTCCTTCGGATGGGAAGTAAAGCCGTTGGTCCCCGGTTCATGAGTTGATGGGTCGATATGTAGGGTCCAGGTGTGGGAGCTGCCTTCCTGGCACGTCGGTAGCATTGGTGCTCAGCACGGAAAACAAGATCGACGGAAAAAACAAAACCAAAAGATTTGTAAACAAACCGTTCTAAAGCCTTTTCCTCACAAAGCGAAGGCCGCCCACGCAAACCAACACCATCATCGGATAGGTGAAAGTGTCCTCTACACGATGATGGTGTTCGTTTGCGTGGGTGGCCTCCGCTTTGTGAGGAAAGGGCTTTAGAACGGTTTGTTTACAAATGCTGATAGGGTCTTTTCTATTGTTAATCCAGTACTATGCTCGATAGGTATACACGGCGAATGAGAACGACTCAAATTTGAGTTTAGTTCACTCATAATCGCCAAAAGTGCAGGAACTCAGTGATGAGTAAAATTGGTCTCATGGTTTCCTGTGGAAAACCTAAAAAATCTGTCGGAAAATGAGGAAATTGACGAAAATTTTATTCAGTCTCGGAGTAGTACCAATAGAATGAGTGAATCCAATCTTTACTTTTCTCAAATTCGGGAATTTTTCCCTGGAAAATCCTGGAAAAATCTGGGAAAACATGAGGCAAATTTACTCATCGCTGAGTTCCTGCACTGGCGATTATGAGTGAACTAAACTCAAATTTGAGTCGTTCTCATTCGCCGTGTAGCGTTCGCCGATTAATCGTCAAAAAGCTCTATTCCACTATCACCTCAAGAGCCAAATGTGAAAATGGCATACAAGCTTTATGTAAACAAACTTTTGTAGGTCCTCACGGAGAACAAATTATAGCATACGCAATTATTTTTCCGGTCAAAATAACTATATTGTTCAATTGTTTTAGAGATAACCCGAAACTATAGTTGATTTGACTATATATAGAGGGCAACAACTATAGTCCATAGTTGGCTCCTCGGTTGCCTCAACTATATTTTTCAGTAGATGAACAAACGCCAAACTTCAAAATACAACTATGCGTTAGTTGATTCAAGAAAACTATTGTTAGAAAGGCAAAATTTTACAATGTTCATTAAACGAACTGCTCTTCATTATCGACATATTAAATAAAGTTTGTTTTGCTTCTTTATCGATCTCAAAAACACAACTGCAAAATCATAAAAAAAGTAAACAAGAACATTCAACTTAGATTTGAACCGTTTTCATCTGCGTGAGAGCCAGCTATCTTATGGCCTGCTCTACGCATCTTAAGTTAAAAGTATGTGGATTTATGATGATCAATTGAAACCAAATTATATAAATAAATTACATTTGACGGTTGTTAAAATTGATCAAATTATAGTTGAATTGAGTATAAGATGAACAGTTGAATCTATTAGGTAGATATGATTGAGTTGACGGTCAAATTAATGTTGGAATAACTATAGGTTTCTTTCAAACAACAATATTTTTCCATGTGCAAGTAACTATTAGGATCGTTATCTTAAGTTAACGAATTTGGTCTCCGTGCTTTTCTCATCAACCAAGGTTCACCCACGCAAACCAACAACATCACCGGAAAGGGGAAAGTTTCCCCTACCTGGTGATGTTGATGGTTTGCGTTGGTGTCATATGGGTGGCGAGAAAAGGGCATAAAAAGGTTTGTTTACAAAAAGCTTGTATGCCCTTTTCACATGTTGTTCTTGAACTTTGGTTTGTACCATCAACCGATACTGGAAATTAGTGCGTTGGCATTGATGCATGCATCGCTGCATTAGCTAAAATGCTGGTTAATGTTCTAGACATGCCAAGTTTGAATTTCTGCATGCAGAGCTGACCATTACTCAACACACACTACCGGTAAATAAGGACTCGCTCATATTGAATATTGCATCACCTTGAAAAGTTTAGCATCACCCCACGTATTCACATTTCACATTCTCTTTGGGCACTACGGCACATACTTCTTGCGTTTAGAATCATAAGGGCCCAACTGCGATGATCGATTCGCTTTAACAAATTTTCCTAAATTATTCCAAAACAGTGCAGTAAAAGGTTGTAATAACTAGCAAAAGTAACATCAAACTTACCGAGAAATGTTAATCCAGACGAGCTATTAGCAAAAGAGATAATCGATTAAAAGAATCGTCATAGCAGTTAGACCCTTATAATTCTGGACGCTAGATTTCGATTTTTCCACTGCTTTTCACTTTCAAAATTGCAAAATGCTGCGATCGCACGTCTTCACGTTAGAGCTAACGAAGTTGATTTTGTTTTTCTTGTTTCAGTGTTTTCAATTTTGTTTTTCTTTATTGAACTCACTTGATCCTAACATTTGGAATGCGTAGAATTAGAAACCGCTCAGAATTAGGAATCACGGAGAATTAAGCGCGGTCACGGTAGATAAAAATTACTAAATTTAAAAAAAAAAGCATGCTTTCATAAAAAAAAAAAAACAGTTCAACGTAAAATAGTAACATTACAAAAGAACCACACATAACGAAAACCAAATCAAACTTAGCAAAGATAAAAAGATCTATGGCCTAAATAACTAGAAATTCTGGTGAATGCCGGCTTTGACGAATCCTTTACCTAATTTATCCCTCTGACGATAAAAGGTTTACCTACCTTTAGGTACTGGCAGATCCGTCATCTACCCTGCATCAATGAATGTAAAAAATCATGTTCAATGGAAATAAAACATGTTTTGTTACTAATTAGTATAGCTGACTTTGGCACTCTTGGCAGCCATTATTGAGCGCAAAATACTGGATAAGATATTACTGACGTAAATAAAAAGACGAAAATAGGCGCTTAGGCCGATGTAGCACTCTACTCCATGCGGCTAACAATTGATTAAAACCAAACTATTCCTCAAGCTAACTTGTAACAATGCAGAACAACTGAGTACCTAATTATGCGCACCCACATTCATTACAAAGCCCCCTTTTCCTCAGAAATGCACGTTCATTAATGCTACACAATTTCAACCACTGTTATCCACCGCATAACTCAAAATACGCAACCGTCACCAGCATTGCATTTCCGGTGCTGCAGTTACATAAATAGCCAGCAAAAAGAACGCTTCCATAATCAGTTTACCGACCACACTCGAACGAATCAAAATGAACCGCAAAAACATCGCACTCTTGCTCGTAATCTCACTGTTCATGATGGTGCAGGGGACACGTGTCCGACGACAGGATATGGAACAAGTTAAACCCTGGGCCGAATGGGGCATGAAATGGGGAAAGGAAAGTACGATCGATTCATCCCGTTTTCCTGAATGATTTACTAATTCTAAATGTTCTCTTCTGATAGCGGTTACGACTATAATCATCCCTGCCGGTCAAGAAGCGGCTACCATTGGCTCCAATAGCGGTGGGGGAGGATCCGAAGGTGCAGAAGCAGCTGCTTCATAGTAGTAAATTTCTACAGTTCGCCACGTAATAAAGTGATGATTTATGTTAAAATTAAATAATTGTTTTTATTGATCGAAAATGTAAGTCGGTTGGGTATTCATCAGGCTCGGATTCAGCACAGAGTGGGTCGGCATAGTGTAGCACATGTCGTAGCTTCCTACATCCAAATGTTGCTGCTGATAGTGATGTGGTTGAAGTGCCGGTGCAGAGTTCGATGAATACTGATAGAGATCATTGGAATACATATTACCGGATGTGGCAGGTGGCATCTGCATGGCCGTAGCAGAATGATGAACATGTGGCATTTGATGTAATGTTGTGGCAGGTGGAACTGGTTGCGGGTGCGATGGCACATAGGTAGGCATGTACGGTAGATTGTACCCGACTTGGTTATCAATCAGCGATGTAGCTACGGACAGTTCCGAGCTAGCGGCACTGTCTAGAGATGCATTTTCATCCACGTCTATGGAAGGTTCTAAAGCTTCCACTGTACTTTCCGGTATAACTGGTTCAACTGGTTTCGCTCTGTGCTTGGCCTTAATATGCCTCAGTAGGGCCGGAGATTGTGTGAACTTTGCATCACACTCCTTACAACTATAAGGCCTGTCACCGGTATGAACTCGCCGGTGAGCAATGAGATTAGAGCTGTTGGAGAAAATCTTGCCACAATCTTGGCAAGGGTGCCTTTTAACTCCTATGTGAACCGTCTTAACGTGGCTATTCAAATAGGACTGCTTATGGAAAGCCTTATTGTCGCACAATTGACAGACGTAGCTTTTTACCGAGCTATGGGTTTCCGAATGATTCCTGAGCTCTTGAGCTGTCCTGAAAGCTCGTTCACAAAGCGTACATGCAAAGTTTCTCTCCTCCGAGTGCGTTTTCCTATGGGCGTGAAGATTGCTGGACGTTCGGAAGAGTTTACTACAGATTTCGCATTGATACTTTCTTTCATTATTGTGAATGCGAAGATGCAGCTGCAGATTTCCGGACTGGGCAAAGCGACGATGGCAAATCTAGAAATTGATAAGGAGCGCGTTATTAAATAGTTCATCACTAGCATTGCGATGAAATCTAGGTATGTATAGGTACCTGACAAGCAAACGGCTTTTCTCCTGTGTGAATCCTCTGGTGAGCCTGCAAGTATCCACCATAGTTGAATGTTTTACCACACGTCAGGCACTGCTCCGGTACCTTCAGCAATGCTCCCCTTTTCGTACCAGTTGCGTCAGTAGTCTTTTTGGTAGATTTTCTCTGTCGAAAGATGTTCACTTTCCTGCCGTCTTCCTTCAGCTTTGCTCTATGCTTCACCAGCAGTTCATCCAACTGTGCCCGCTTCTTTATGGGTTGAACTTTCTTTACATTCCTTGCACCATTCCCAGTCTCCGAACTCTCCTCGGATTTGGAACCCGAAAACATATCCACTCCTTTGGCTCCCATTTGTCCTTCATCTTCCCCGAAAATCTCATTCATCGCTGCATAGATTTCATCATCTTTGACCACGTCCACGACCTGGGCTGGCTGATCCCGGACAACATAACTTCTCAACTTCTGATCCGACGATTCGCATCGATTCCGAAACTCAAACGCCATACCCAGCTTGTAGAAGCAATCGTTGCAAATCGCACCCGGCAGACCATCTTTTTCGTAGATTTCAACCGATGCACAACGGGCAATCATCTCCGATGGTCGGATCGAGAAGTTGACGGCGAACAGGTTCACCAGCGAACCTAGCTGCAAATGCTGCAGACAGAGCCGGCATATTTTGTCCATTTCGAGTGGACCGGGTTGGTCCATGTTGGCGATGGGTTGTTTTAAACTCTTGTTTTACGTGTGGTGATGTAGAACTTTGTAAGGCCAATGATGACACCAAGTTCTCGCACGCACCAACATTGAACCAACAAAAATCCCAAAAATCGCCACTTAATCCTCGCAGGCCTATTGCCTTTCTTACGAATTGAGGTTGTTAAAAACTAGTCACACTTTTGGCATCAGAATTAAACGTACTACTTGATTGGTTAATAGAACAAATTTTATAATCGGTTCCGGAATGAAAACAAAATGATACTGTGACAACAATAATTCAGGGGAAACATGTCAGAAGGGTCTAACTCGAAACGTAAACAATGACTTGGATCGTCGGTTTCTTACGAATGACAACACACCCACTCAAACTAATTAAACCATCTGACATAGAAATGTTCGTTCTATGAGCTGGTGTAGTCAGATTCCGTGGGTGTGTGGTCATTCTAGAGATATCGACGTTCAAAGTCATTGTTTACATTTCGAGTTATACCCTTCTGAAATGTTTCCCCTGAATTATTCTGATGTAATTCTGACAATTAATTTTAACAACAAAATTTAAAAAAATACCTCACACGGAAAAATAAAAAAAATACCACAGACATCACAGATCATGCAGTGTTTACAGCACTCACAACCAGAGGACGAGTAACCTTTTTGAAGGAACCGTTGAGACCACAAACGAAACAAACGAAACGAAACCACAAACCAACTTGAATTAAATCGAAACAAAAATACTAGCGAACCTGGACGGTGAGGGGCGGAAGGTGGACTAAAATTCTATTACCGTGGAAGCACCATATTTGACGCGGGTCCAAACTTGACGCACTTTCCAATCAATTCGATCATAACTCCTGTTTCGGTTTGAATTGCACCGAAATTGTAATTTTCTGTCCTTTGTTTACACTCATGCCACCCATTCATAACAAAAAACATACTTTGTTTATTGCTAATAAGAGCAATCAAAATCAAAACGAAAAAGCCATCTGTCAAATGCGTCATTTTTTTCTCATCGTAGCAACAACGCTAAGGAGCAAGTTTAATGTTTATTGTTAGTTTTCACGCAGAAAATCAGTTTTTGTGTAATAATACGTTACTAACTATTAAACTGTAAGTATTTTTAACGTTTAACAGCTGATTCAGCAATATATAGTATGTTTAGAGCACATTTGTTGCATACGACATTAGCTTGTATGGGAAAGCTTGGGTCGGATCGGCTAGCAAAATAAACACCCCAACAAATTACAAAATCAACATAGGCAAGCTTTTATTATTGGCATGTTCCGCCACCTCATTTTATCCTACCTGCCTCCTTGTCCCTGTCCTTGCCTCTTTTCATCGCGCTTTGCGCCTCCGCTCTTGCCCTACTTTTCTTTCTAACTAAACCTAATTTTCTTCCTGAGTACTCACGAAATACCGGCCGGGTGCTACCTTTGCCGCCGCTCGATGTTGGTGAACCTGCGCCGCTCGAATTGAATGGGCACGACACACACCGATGCTCTCGTTCACTTGGCCGCTTGGGATCCCCGCCGGATTACCACCGAACGCTTCGCATCCGCCGTGGCCCGACACGATCGATAATCGACTGCGCCGATGACCTCTCAACTTGAGGCGAATCGCGAGTGGCTGCGCCTCCCTCTCGCTCTCTTCGTGAATGTTTCTTTCCGATGGTGATGACCTGTGTCCGGTCAACACTGTCTCCTGCCCTCGGCGTGCACTGCTGCTTCGAATCCGTGCGACCTGTCGCTAGGAGTCGTACGGCCAACACGTCGCTCGATGAGCCTACCGTTCTGGCACCTACCCTGTACCACCGCGAGGAGATCCGACCTGTGAATGGAGCACTCGAAACAAAAGCCCTGGGGCACCTTTGGTTAGTTTCAAAGGGATGGCGAATTCATCTGTGGCAACTCACTTCTTCGAGAAGGCTTTTGTCTCCCAACGTGGTAATGTGTCGTAATCGAACACCGCCAGGGTGATTTTGGCTCCCGCTGTCGTGGTATTGATCGGTTAATTCGATGGTGATGTGCTACCACGGTTGAAATTCTCCGTGAACCACTCCCTCAATGTGATTGACACGTACTACGTGCGTTCAGTTCGTGTGGTGCTAATATGTGACGAGAAACTTATTAGTTTTTCGTTTGTCGTCTTGTTCCACTTTACTAACCTTTTGATCGTTTCGAAATTTCCGAACCGGTGTTCCAGTTTTATTACTGCGATGCGAAGCGATCTTCGCTAAGATTCGTCGAGTTTTCGAGACACTACTTCTGTGCACGATGACGGTCTACTACCAACAATCAATACGAAACTAACGATTTTAAATTGGCTCACCACTTTAGTAGCCTATTGGTCCCAAGCAAACGATTAACGTACCCTATTCTAGTTGAAATTCTATTACTACACTATGTTTGTTTTGATTCGCTATGAAAGTTTGACAGATAACATCAGGGGTGTGTGGATTCATGCAGAACATGCAGGGGTGAGTGAAATAGCTTGGGACTGCTTGGGACCCGAGTTGGGACCGTTGTTCTGGTACTGAGTGAGCCAAAAATAATAATGATTTTCTTCGGGACCCAGTGGTCTTAGAGTTACCTCTATGCTACTACTGTGCAGGTTCATGTGGGTGTGTGTGTGGCGGAAGAGTTGTCAGCAGATCTGCTGCTGAATGATGTTGGCAGTAAAATTTTCATTGGTTGTCTTGTTTCAAGCGATGTATGGCCCTTGCAGCATCAAATACGTAGATGCACGCTTCAAAGTGTTTACTCAAACGTGTGAAAAGCTTATTCTTAATACATCAGACAGTGGTAACATAGTATCGAAAATAAATACGTAACACATTATTTAACGAAAATGTTTTGCGTCAATTTAGGCTCACAGTGGCCCTTATTATTTTCTATGTGAAACATGGAGCCCAAAAACAAAGTACATGACCTACAGCAAGACTGCACTCGGTAAAGCCGTGGACATAGCACGAAGAGGTACATCAGTTCGGAAATCTGCTGCCTCGTTTGGTATTCCGGAGGCCACCGTTCGTAGGAAGATGAATCTACAAACGCAGCGGTCACCGGGAAAACCTACCGTTTTGACCATGGAGGAGGAGAAATCAATTATCGATTGGATTTGTTTGGCGGCACAATCGGGCTTTCCGGGCTTTACCATATTTCATCAACCATTCAATAAACACTTGTTTTTTGTTGAAATTAAGCTATTTTTTTAAGTGCGTCAAATAAAGAACACCTTGCGTCAAATAAGGCACATTACAGATTCTATGCGTCAAGTTAGGAACCCAAAGTACCAAACAGAAATTTATTATAACATCAAGAAATTAACAGATATTTACGTTTTATTTATTTTTCCTACATTCTGTATTTACTGAACTATTACTGTGTAAAATATTGATTGAATTGGTAAGACTCTCATTTTTTAGAACATGTTTGAATTTGAAATTGTCTTAACTGCGTCAAGTATGGTGCTTCCCGAATAGAAATTTACATTAGCCCAACGTTTGATTCTGATGTCTACATCAGCATCGTAATCAAATGTATGCCTGATGTCAAACATTAGAAAACATTATGATTTAGTTGTATTTAAGCAACGTAACATGGTGTATACATCAGAAATTTTGGAACAAAATTTTGCCATTCTAATGTCGGTCTGACGTCAAAAATTTCAATCTATTGACATTAGAACCAAACGTTTTAAGGATGTTTTCTGATGTACATTACGTTAGAACTAAACGTTGTTCGGATGTTTTTAAATGTAAACGTTTTTTGATGTTTTCTAATGTAGATGTTTCCTGATGTTAGAAACAAACGTTTTTGGATGTTTTTAGATGTTAAAAACGTTAGAACTAAACGTTTTTCGGATGTTTTTATATGTAAACGTTTTCTGATGTTTTCTGATGTTTTCTAATGTAGAGGTTTCCTGATGTTAGAATCAAACGTTTTTTGGTTGTTTTCGGATGTAAAAAACGTTAGAACTAAACGTTGTTCGGATGTTTTTATATGTAAATGTATTCTGATGTTTTCTAACGTAGATGTTTCCCGATGCTAGAACCAAACGTTTTTTGGATGTTTTCGGATGTACACAACGTTAGAACTAAACGTTGCTCGGATGTTTTCAATTGTACTTCGTGTTTGTTGTTCTCTGATGTTTTCAGATGTACAAAACGTTTAAAGTAAACGTTGTTTGAATGTTTTCAAATGTAGATGTTTACTAATGTTTTTAGATATACAAAACACTAGAATCTTACTTTTCAAATGATTTCAATTATATTTACAACACATTAGAATTAGAAACATGATCGTGTAAACACTACACACCATTATTGTTAGATAACATCATAAAAATGCGTACATAATAGTCAATGCTGAAGCTCCCGTTTCCCACCAGTCAGTTAACTGACCTTAGCTAACCTAATATCATTGCGGCAACTCTCTATGCGGCAGGGGAACTATGCCATTAGCGCGCTAAGAGTTATTAGACCACTGACATAGGCGCCAATTTGTAGGTGACAAGGCACTTGGTGACATTACAGCGAGCTTGACGATTGTTGCAGCATTTTTTTTAGCAAACTAACAGTTAAGGTGTGTAGTGTTTACAAGATCTTGTTCCTAGCTCTAGTGCTTTGTACAATTGAAAGCATTGTAAAAGTTAATTCTCATGTTCTGCACAACCGAAACCATCAGAAAACATAAAATTGTACAAAAAAAATCATCCATTCTGGTAGACTATCTCTTAAATGCATAAAGAATAGCCATTGCTTAAGCTCCCGTTTCCCACCAGTCAGTTAACTGACCTTAGCTAACCTAATATCATTGTGGCAACTCTCTATGCGGCAGGGGAACTATGCCATTAGCGCGCTAAGAGTTATTAGACCACTGACATAGGCGCCTATTCGTGGGTGACGAGGCACTTGGTGACATTACAGCGAGCTTGGCGATTGTTATAGCATTTTTGAGTGAACTACCAGACAATCATGACAATGTGATCGCTGCGCCTCCAGATCTCCCTTTAAATCGACCCGCTGTGCCAATTTGTCAATAATGCATGACACTTTGGACGGGGTTGCTGGCTTGTTTGGTCCACTGTTCGGATATACAAGTGGCAAGCATTCCCCTTCACGGATCGCCCAAAAAATTGCTGCAAACGGACTGCAAATATATAATAAACAAAATTATTGTGCATGAAAAATATGACAATGGACAATGCTCGAGAAGCACTGGGAGTTTTCGAACGAC